TATACAGTGGGTGATCGGTTAACGAACATAATCCGTTCCAAGACTTTGTTCGTTATCCGAATTGTTCGTTAACCGATTATCGATTTACCATAGGTTTGTATGGGAATTTGATTAATTCATTCCGAAGACTCCAAAAAATAAAAAAAATATATACTTTTTCACTATGTTTATTTATATGTAATAGTAAAAATACATATATACACAGTCTTGCATTTTTATTAGTCATGCTTTCTCTGTTTGTGAGGGTTAAAGAATCTGTCCAATGTCAATTGTTTTTCTTTCTTCTCCAGGATTTTTCAGAAGTAATTAATAACATTGTAATTGTAGAGATCCCTAAGCCTATTAACCTCAACTTGGTTTGGATGCCATTCTAAGACCGTCGTTCTGACATCATCCCACTTCTTCAAAAAAAATGTTTAATAGCAGATATCAACATTAATTCTCTTTTTCAGAAGAAAACACATCTCACCGAGTTTCTTGGTGTTCTTTATTGAAGAGTTCTTGGCATTCTTCTGTCGTCAGATTAGTTTCAGGTTTATTATGAGCTCTTCAACGTTCTTTATTTCTCAGATGTGATTTTTGTTACTCCTTTAGCTGCTTGAGTCTTCTTGATTATACAGTATCTTTCTTAGATAAGATTAAACTGTGGCCTACTGTAGACCTGTTTGAGCCATACTGCCCAGCAACATCAGACATCTTCTGCCCACTCTCTACCTTTGCTATTATACTTTCACCTTTCGAAAATAAAAACTGATGCAAAACTTAACGAGTGCCCGCCTGACAGTCTCTCGAATACTATAAAGGAATTGTTTCTGTCAGAAAAATAAAAGGCTGGAATTACAAAGAAGAGTTTCAAAGTTTGGAGGAATACTATCCAATCAGTATATACCGGATTGAGCATTGATGTCGATGTCTCCCGTGCTCCAAAAAGTTTTGAATTGTTGTCCGAAGACAAGGAAAGACCAATCTGTATTTATTATTTTACATTGCTTCTTCTTGTGTTTGTTCTGTGAGGTGTTTGTTATCCGATTAGGTGTTCGTTGTCCGAACATAAAAATCTTTTGCGAAAGTGTTTGTTATCCGATTTGTTTGTTAACTGATCACCCACTGTATCTGCTTTTGTTTGTTATTGACATATTTCAGCTGCCAATATTAATAATCAAGAGAACAAACCAGGATAAATCTTTTACTGATTTTTATACATTTAAATACAAAACTCACTATTTTAATAACATAAACAAATAAAACTTGAATTTTAATACAAAATAGATTAGTTAGAAAATTTCATAATTAGAAGGTAATAAATTATATGCAGCTTGCTGTTGAACTAAATCAAGAACGAGTGGAATTGGAATTAGTAATATTATGTGAGACAAAACAAGTTCAGTTGTGCATAACATCAAGAGAAGGTTATATGTTTCCCTTAAATGAGATTTATCTTTTGGAAATTGAAAAATCCCCAATGTATTTTTATTTGCTCATAAATATTACAATAAAATCTTCAATTCAGGAAAATAAAATTTACTTGAATTTTCTGAAATATAATTTTTTATATTTATCATATTATTGACAGAATATGATAATGAGTACTTTAACATTATTTAAACTGATTTTTATTTATATTAAAAAAATAAAAATTTATTATCTTATTCATTTTTAATTATAAAATTTTTAATATTAATTTTTTAGAAATAAGAAAGTAATTAAAGAAACAAAAGATTACAAAATATCATTTGATGGATCATCAGCAACTTTAACTATTGTTACTACTACTGTAGAATTTTCAGGAACTTATACTTGTGAAATTGTCAATGAGTTTGGAAAAGAAGAATCTTCTGCAGAATTAACTGTTACAGGTAAGAATGTGATAAATTAAACATTTAGTTTTGATAATTTAATTTCTAATATTACAGAAAATTTATTTATTTTTCAATACAGTATTATTACACTAATGAAAAATCATGATTATATAAATTTAGAATGTTAATGATGAAACATTCAAATATTCATAATTTTTATAAAAAATTCATAAATAAACAAAATATTTGCAAGTAAAAATGATATTACTGATTAATATTTATATAATATTTATTTAAATTTTAATTACTGTAAGTTCTGTACAGTACATGCATATAACCTATGGGTTGTCTATGTCTAATATACATTTTAATATACAACCTGTGTGATGGATTGAGTTATACTTTTGGTTTAAAATGTGATTATATGAACTCATGCATATGAAGCAACAACTGCTCCATAGTACTCTATAATCATGAGTTTTTACCAGTGTTGTGGAGTCAGAGTTGCCTGAGTTGGATGTTTTTGGATGGAGTTTGTAAAATTCTTTCAACTCTGGTGACTCCAATATTGAAATTTACTATTGATAAAATGTGAAGTAAGAAAAATGCTTTTTAATTAATTAGTATCTAAAGAAATTTCTTAGAAAACAGCCACTTTGATAAATTTAGATATCAAAATATTAACTCATAAAGGCCAGTTAATAGCAAAATGTTATGTGTATCTCATACAACATGCTCTATACTTTCAGAAAATAGCTTTTATTGATTTAAGGCTCACCAGTGGCTGGGTGGCTAAAACCCCTGAATCCTTGTAGTTAATCATGGGATCATGGCTGGAAAGTAAACACATATGGTATTGCTTTGAAGAGCCAAGCTTATCTTTACCAAAGAGAAACTCCCAAAAAAATTTTTGACTTTTATTTCAGGTGCCATAATTTTTACTCAGTGAAATATTTTTTTACGTCTCAGATGTTTTTCTATGGATATCAATTGTTTTTTTGACTAATTTTTTCACTACTTTTCTATTGGTTTTGAATTATTTATGACTATTTATTATAGCTTTTAACAAAATTTGATCTTAAAACAGTCAGTAGAAGAACAATGAATAAAGCAGAACCAAGATCAGAATTTAATTGCAACAAACTAAAAAAGAAAGAGATATAATTAATAGAATTGTTTCAGCTTATTATTCACTGGTTTCAGTTCTTGGGGCATGATTACACTTGTTTTAAAATAATTGATTTTTTTCCAAATTTCATATTTTAAAATTCTACTATATATTTGAGTTTAGTCAAGCATCAGTAGGAAATCAACTATTCTTATAGTAATAAGAGCAGGAGAAATTATTTTATGCACCAATTTATTACATCATTCATTAAATTGTTATTTTTTTGTATTTTATTGTATTTAATATTTTTTATAGAAAATAATTAAATTTAATTCAATTTTTCATAATTAACTATTAAAAGTGGAATTCTTTTGGCTTTGAAGAAGCAGTTTGCTTCTTTAAGTATTCAAAAATGTTTCCAAGTTAAATTTGTTATATCCATTTTTCGATTCTCACCATCAATTTTAGTATAACTTTTTATAGAGAAATTTTAGATAAAAATATTTGGTATCTAGTAGTATCTTTCTTATAAAAGGAGTCATAGTGTGACATTTTAAAAAATGGTACTATTGGATTTGGACTTTTTGTTTACCGACTTCACCACACTGGTTATGTAAAAGGTTTTTTTATTTTAACAATTTTCTTCAGGGTATATGCACAAAAATATAGTAATATTCTAATTTCTAAATTAAAAACAGTATACAAAGTTTGAAGTTTTTATGTACTCTAACAATTATATAACAAAATAAATTATGTGATTAAGAAGTTCATTTTGTTTTTAACAAATGTTTTTGAAGTTCACTGTGTTGTATTTTTAAGTATGCTATGTATGTCCTTTTATTAGAATTTTCATCAATAATATAGTTATATAGTAACAAAAGTATATTTTATTATTATTTTTATATAATAGTATTGTAATTTAATGTAATTTTTGAAATATATCAGTTATTATTTTTAATTTTACATTTACTAAATATTGAATCTAATTTTGCATAGAATTATCATATTCTATATTTAAATATTGCATAATAAACCATCAAAAATAATAATGATAACTATATTGATACTTTCTTGCTAATGTTACTAATTAATTAGTTCTGTCAGATATTGTTTCCTATTTTAATGTATTGTGAAGTTTGTATTTTTTATAACAACGATTCTTTGCACATATTTAAAACAAGACATTACTCTTTTGTTTGAATAACATAGATATTTTTGTATATATAGAATAGTTATACAATAAGAGTAAGTACAGTAAGACCCCGCTTAACACAGGATGCGTTCCTAGACAACAAAGCGCTAAGCAAAACAGCATTAAATGAGGTCATTTCAACATAGAGTAAATAGGGATAGGGGAACACGCAACCAAAAATAAACAAATTTTACTTTAATTTCAAGTTATTTATTTTTTATATTAATTTGTATAATAATATATGTTAACATAAACATATGCACACAGAAATGTAAAGTTCATTTTTTGTGACGAAGGTCCTGACTTTTCTGAAATTCTTGTTCTTTTGTAATAAAGTCGTGAAGTTTTATTTGTCGCTTTTTCTTTCCTTAAGCAAATGTTGGTAGCAGAAGATTGCATCCAAAATGTCTCATTTTGCTTTTGCACTTCTTTCAAAATCTGGATCATTCGCTACAATTTGATCAACAATTTTGGTTATTTTACCAAACTTTTACTAAGGAAATCTGTAGGGAAATTCTTTTGGGTTCTTTGTTTTCAGAATTTCTATTTTACAGTTCTATGTGAATTCCATGTTCTGCCAGTTCTTGGAAGGTCGTCTTTGGTAAGGCTCTCACCAGAAACCTGCTGTAACTCCTGCTCGTCTATATCNTGTTTAATTTTAATTTAAACTTTCTTGGGTTTGAGAGGCACTGTAAATTGTACAGAAAGCTCTAGTTAGTGTGAGGACCACCATCCCCCCACCTAAATTAGTTGTTACTATATACATATGAGTGTGTATGTATTTGTGAATTTGTTATTTACATATTTACGTTATAATCTTAGTTTAGCTACTTTGTTGTCACTTTAATTAATTAGTTAGAGATTTTATTGTATTTAAACTTTGTGTTTATTTTATATCGTTTTTCTTTTGAACCCACATCTTGAAGATACCAAGATTGTTTATACATAGATCAAAGTGTAAGAGGAAATTTGCCTATTTTTCCGATTCTAGGGACTTCCCTATAGAAATTTCCAATAATATCAACTTAGAATGATTTAGAGAAACAATTTAGAATAAGAAGTTTATTAATTAACGGCAATAAATCTCACAACATCAGGAAAAGGATGAGAGGACAATTAAGCAATTAAATAAATTTGTAAAAGAATAAAACTTAAAGAAAATGGGAAAAACACAACAGGAAAAGGATGAGAGGACAATTAAGCAATTAAATAAATTTGTAAAAGAATAAAACTTAAAGAAAGTGGGAAAAACACCACTTCATGCCCCTCGCCAATCATAGCGGAGATCGAACATCATTTCAAGGCACAACAGTAACCAAAACAATCGATGAATAATGATGGGATTTGTCAGTGATGACATCTGTGGAGTTCAGCGCTATCACCATATAAAGTCAAGAAACTAGTTAAAACAGTTTTGCTTCTGTAATGACTCAGCTCAAAAGTTAAACCAATATGATAGTAAGCCATATCATAACTCTCCTGTGCTGAAAAGCGTATAAAAGAGGCACAAATCCAGGCACAGATAGAGCTCTTCGGTAGACAATGGTAGAAAGCACCAGCCTCTCCAGACTCTTAAAGAACCATCCCATACAAGGAAGGCATCAAACGCAGACATCAACAGTAGACATAAGTGGACCCATTCCGCCATAATCGCAAGGAAATTTCGACTAGAAGCGAACGCCATTTACCGGCAGATATCAGTGAAGGACCAAGCAAAAGGGAAGAAAGAACTAGATCAAGAGACTGACTGGACTTACAAGAGAAGAAGACAGCTCTCTTTTTCCTGTTATGTTGTAGTTTGGATACCCTCCTGTTAGGTAGCCCTCTCGTTTTATAGATAGAAATAGGCAGATTTCTTGAATCAGATTATAAGAATGTTATCCAGAACTTAATTTTTGATAATAAACTTTTGTTATTTGTATTTGACTTTGCATTTATCCTCCTGAGAGGCTCATTCCCGGACTTCAGAGTGACTCTTACTCTCGCGCCTTAACTATCGGGTTTTGACTGAATCGGCGGTGTGTCCAACAAAACACACCTGGTGGACCCTACCCTAATCTAACGTAAACTAACTTTTGATGGCCCCTGGTCCCTACAATTATGTTGAGTTTGGTCAACCTAACGATATTGCGATAGGCTCTTCTTGTTGAGAATTCTTGGATGCCTTCAGCCATAACTTCTTCCACACTTTGTGCATTTATCAGTTAATTCTTGCCAAGCAAAGTTGATATTTCCTATGGCATCTATTATGTTATATTTTTTCCAAAATTGCACCAAACAAACATAGATTTAAAGAAAGTACACCTTTTTGCCATTTTTTGCTGATTGGTTTGTGTTCACAAATAATCATATTATATATGAATCAATGAAATGCCGCGATAATTTAAATCAATGTAAATTTTGAGCTTGTTTTAGGCTTCAAGCAGACTGCGTTATATCAAATCAGCGTTAAGTGAGGTTTTACTGTATAAGAGACTTTTGATGCATTTTTAAAAGACTAATGTAGTATTTCTCTGATTAACATATTTATTTAATACTGTTTATTAAATATTCAAAAATATTATTTTGCTCAATTAATTAAAATTATAACATAAAAAGATTTGGAAAGAAATAAAAGAAATATAGATTTTATCATTTTATTTCTTTGCATTCTTGATAGGTTAAATGACAAGTTACTATATTCTCATACAGTAACTTGTCATTTAATTTATAGAAATATAACTAATACTTATACATAATATTAATTATAATATTCATTATATTATTTTATTGTTTCTGATTAATTTCAATATGTTTAATTTTATTTTATATATAACTTTTTAAAATTCAATAGTCTTTATACTTGTTTTATAAAAACATAGTTCATTATGGTTCATATTAAAAAGTTTATTCAAATCCATTACATAAATTAATTATATGCAAGAAATCTCATTCAAAGTTCTGTAACTTAATGTAACTTAATGTAGTTTATATAAAGCATTCTATTTAATTCATGTACAAGTTAATGTAATTAAAATAGTTATTATTAAAATAAAAATTTTATACATAAGTTTGATAAAGAATGTAATTGAGAAAGGTCAAGTACAGTGGAACCTCGGTATACGACCTTAATCCATTCCTGGTGTTTGGACTTATACCGAATAGGACGTATATCAAACCAACCTTTGTTGCAAAAAAATTGATGCATTTTAAAGCTGGTGTGCAATATTAACTAAATTCTACACATTGTGGTAGTTATTATTAAAATAAAAATTTTATACATAAGTTTGATAAAGAATGTAATTGAGAAAGGTCAAGTACAGTGGAACCTCGGTATACGACCTTAATCCGTTCCTGGTGTTTGGACTTATACCGAATAGGACGTATATCAAACCAACCTTTTCCATAAGAAGTAATGTAAAAATGATTAATCCGTTCTCATGTAAAAAAAATGGCTGGCTTTAAACACCTTGTTTTCTTCGCTAGTTTCTGCTTGATTTTTCATGAGAACAGCATGTATCCTTTTAACTTTCTTGCAAATAATTTCTCCGATACGCTGTCGCCGGCACACTGTTTTTCAGTTATCCAAAGCAAAAGCAATTTCTCGACACATGATCTAATGTCTTCGATCTCTGTTTAGAAATTGATTTAACCCCTTTCGCAATGTTAGCAGATTTAATAATGTCTTTATTTTTCACAATTGTCGCTATCGTCGTTCTCGGAATACGGAATGCAACAGTTAAATCTCGAACACACGTGCCACCTTCATATTTCTCAACAATCTCTTTTTTCAGTTCTGTTGTGATTCTAGTCATTTTTTTTATTTTTCTGTTGCCCTTTTGCAATTCAAGATTAATAAAAATAATAAAATGTTACTTACAAATTAAAATCAGAATAAATTTAACAAAGTTATAAACCTTAGCACCGCGAAAGTCTAGTCTAGTGTAGTACACCGATAGTGCTACTTGTTCATAGATGACGCGTATAATTGAATTAAGTCGTATACCGAACAAAAGTCGTATACCGAACAAAATTTGTTTCGTCTAAACAGGACGTATTCCGAATTGGACGTATTCTAAAGCAGACGTATACCGAGGTTCCACTGTATTCATTTTTTTTAATTTAATATTTTCAATATATTTATAATTTAGTCGTAGGTTTTGAATTATTAGATTTTGATTTAATTATGATTATGTAAATATTGATGTAAACAAAAATAAATAAGTTTTTGATTAAATAAGTAGAATTAAATAAGTAATAATTTTGTTCCAAAATTGTAATTTATGATGAAAACATTATATTAATGTAAAGGAAGCAAATAATACAGATTTTCTTAATTTACATAATACAGATTTTCTTAATTTACATAATACATTTTTTGACTAATTTATATATTAGTATAAATTAATCTGAATTTGATTGCATATAAAAATCAGTTTTAATTGGAATTCTTATTTTATTCTCTGAAAACATTTTCATGGAAGTAACTTCTTAATCAGGTTTTGTAATTAAATAAGTATTTTTCTAATTCTAAATCTAAATGAAAAAAGTAATACATCTGGATTTAAACACAGAATAAATTGAATCAAATATATAATGTTTGATAAAAGGATTTATTTCCATTTATATTAATTTTTTATGATGCAGAACTTATAAATTAATATTAAAAATGCTATTGAAAGAACTATCTAATATATTATATGAACAATATGAAGTTATCATTACAGATATTTTTTTTTCATAATTTTAAATATTCTATTTTAAAAAAGTTTTTTTTTAAAACTATTATATTGAATTTTGTTATTTATAATACATTAACTTTTATGCATTATATATTTGTGTTTTTTACTATTAAAAATCTCAAAAACTTTGGCAAAAAATGAAAAAGCTCATAAGTAATATATAATGTTATTTAATTTAAATAAAATTATTTCATTTAAAATAGAGCCACCAAAAAAGAAACCAGAGGAAAAGAAAGAAAAGAAACCAGAAGAAAAGAAAGAAAAGAAACCAGAAGAAAAGAAAGAAAAGAAACCAGAAAAGGTTTGTATTTTAAGTAATGAATTTCAAATTAATTTAATGATTATTATAAAATACTGTATCTTAATTTAAATATATTTTATACTAATAGTATTTAATTTTTTAATAAATAGAACACTAAATACAAATAAAAATTTTTGCTGTCTTCACACATCCTTCACAACCACAGGAACACAATTAACATGAGCAGAGTCAACCTTTCTTTTGAGGCTATTCCCTGTTTACAAATATGTAAATTGATTAAAATACAAAAATTTTTATTTTTATTTAGTTTTTTATTTTTAAAGGTATATTTTATCCTGGAATTTTAGAAATTTTTCAATAGTATTTAAATTTAAGAATACAAGAATTTGAGTCTGTTATTGTACTAACAGTTTTATTCATCATCTTGAGTTAAACTTAGAGTAAGATTTAAATCATGAGTTAGGTTAAAATCTATAATCATCATTCATCGCTTCTAGATTTAATTTTTAAATATTGCTGCTGTTGATTTAATTCTTTTATTATATGTTATCATTTATTCTGATTGAATTTGTCTTAAGACAACATAAACAGATTTAAATTTATTCATTAGTCAAAAGTAACTGTTTTTTTGTAATTAAGATTTAAATTTATTTTGATTTTTGTCATTTCATGTTTTAATCTGATCTCAACTACCAAAAATACTTATGTTGTGGCCAAATATTTAAAATACCCTTTAAAAATGTAACATTTTGTTTTTGTTAGAATTTTGTCCCAATTTTAAACACTTTTTTCTTTCTTCTTTTCGTTAGCACTTATTTCTTCTACTCTACTGGATATTAGGTTTTTTAGTGGTTTTAATTTCGTCTTTCCTATCTTTTATTTGCTTTAATTTTTAAAGTTTTGTAACAAAATAGTAATTGTTTTTCATTTCATAGTATTATAGATCTCCATTTCAATCCATTAGTGAATATGAAAAGTAAAGTAATTCTAATTCTAGGATTTTGAGTGCAAAATCTCAAATTATATTTCTGCGGTGAATAATATTGAAAAATTCCAGGGATGAATGTCTTGGGTCTGTCAGACCCATAAGAGTAAACTTGTACGAATTTTTCTACAATGTTTTTTAGTTTATCAAAAAGTATCAATTATACTTACAGAAAGTGTTTTAATAGATGTAAAAGCCTTTTTTCAATAATGTCAACTTTTACTTAAGGTATATCAAAGAAATTATTGTATTGTAATTCAGCAGAAGTTCACTGCAAGCAAACTATGAATGTCTCATATAGAAATCAAAATTATGTATGATAATAATGTAGTTGTTCACTAGATGCATAGCATTAAAACCTATAAATTACATAAACAAATAACTAAAATAAACAAAATACATATGTATACAAAGCACAAAAAAAGACGAATGAGTAGCCATGACATAGTAAAATTATTCAATCTGAATTTTACATAAATTTGTAGTACCACCCTTAGTAGGAAGATATATGTAATAATAATTGTCTACCTATATAAATATGTAATGAATATATACTGCAAAAGTCACTTGGGTCTGTGAGATCTACACTATTTATTGCAGGGATATAATTCTTGATTTTAAATATTGTTGTGAATATAGTTGCAAAAGTTTTTAACTTCTGTAATTGAAATAATCACTAACTTTCAATCAGACTTTTTTCCTGTCATTAATAAACATATATATTAATTTTATTGAATTTCTAAACATTTGTGAAAGGAAATAAAAATTTATAATTCCTACAGAACCAATTTGATTAAATTATGTTAAAAATCTGTATAAATTATAAGTTTATGTTTGTTAAACAAATAATTAAAGTAGCAACACTAATACATATATCAGATATGCTCCAGACATGTCATTCAATACAAAATGCTTTTTCCAGAATAAACTAACTCATTTATTTGCCTTTTTAGAGTCAAATAAAGCCAAATTAAAATTATCCTATTAACTCTTGAAGATACATATATAAACTTAAAAATGCTTGAATTTCAAATTTTTGTTTCAAAAATACATTTTTTATTTGAATACAGCAAAAATATTCTACTCTATTTTGATTCCCTTTTCTTAATTAAAACTCAAACTATCATAATTTTCTGCTTATAATTTGAGCAACTTATAACTTTCAGGTGCAATTTATTGTCACATAATTCATAAGGGTAATTTTTTCTTGACAAAAAGTTTGAGTCATAATTTTTGCAAGATTATTTTGTTGTTTATTTGCTTTTTGATGCATTAGCAATGAAGTGATGCAATTTGTAAGGACATTTAATAATTAGAATGAAGTATTTCAAAACCCAGGAAAAAATTAAACAATATATTTTCAAACAATACAATGAAAGTTTAAATCTATAAATATAAAATGAAATCAGTTTTCAATTTATGACCTCCTAACTTAAAATGGTTGAAACTAGTATATTAAAACATATTAGTGAGGTTGAGGTCAAAGTTTTAAACACGAAAACGTATACCTCAAACATTCAGTGCCACTTTCCTATAAGCCTAGAAGTTTGGCAATGATGTTTGGGACGTCAAGCATGATTCCACTGACTATCCAAATACCATTGTCAAACTTCTAGGCTTACAGGAAAGTGGCGCTGAACGTCCAACATACACGTTTTCGCATTTAAAACTTCGGCCTCAACCTCACTATTATTTTTGAGTCTAAACAATTGATTGCACTATAATAATAGAGTACAACAATTAAATGCTAAATGTATATATAATGTATAAGAGTGCATACTCTATATAACTAAATTATAACCCATATGTTTATTCATGTTTAACTATAATTCAGGATCGTATCATGTGTGTTCAAAAATCAAAAATGAAACATACATACTGTGAATCTACTCAGTATATAATTCTAATCTCAAATTTATAACAAAGCTAAAATGAATTAATAATAAATTAAATAAAAATTATCAATAAAAATAAAATCAATTTTATTCAAAGATTGCAAGTACTCTCTTGATTGTTTTTTGATTCTTCTAAATGTGGTTGTCTTCTGGTGTTTTGTGAATCTTTGCATTAATAAAACATCATAATTAATTCCACTCTCTAAGAACTTTCTGACTCTGTCACTGGAACAAACTTTCTTCATATCAATAGTGAAGATGACAAGTCTTGTTACACCATGAAGTCTTTCAGTTTTCTTGGTTGAAGTGTCAGGGTCATATGCTGTTAATCATTGTTATTGAAGATAAAACGCTTTAAGTTAAACTTAAAACATATTTTAAACAAAGATCAGCTTGGTGATATTTATTGGAGAGGGAGCATTCATAAATTATATAGTACTATTTTTATATTTTTCAATTATTATCCCACCCATGTTCTGTAATACTGTCACACATACTACCCCAAAGTTATATAATGCATATCCTGTATCTTAGTAATAGAAACTGTATATTTATACTGTTTCTAAATCAATGTCAAAGAACTGAATTTTTTCCTAACCAATCACAGCATGAAATTTAAAATTTTGGAATGGTTCAGGGCAGGAATCCAACAAAATCTATTAGAGATCATTTGACTGTTAACAATAGATAAGACGTAAAAGTTTAAATTTAAATTATTAATTTAGTTTTTTAATTGTTATAAAGTTAAATATGTAGTTTCTTTTAAATTAAAACTTTTTTTACTTTCATGTTCATTTTTGATGAATTAGACAATGAAAGTTATAGCCAAATCTAAGAAGTTGTCATCATTTTTCAAAAATTACTGTTAGCTTAACAACTTATTTAACAAACAACACAAGTCAGTTTAAAGATTTTTAGCATTGTAATGTTTTTATAAACACTCCCATCTTTTCTAGCAAATTATAATGATTACTTGTATACACATTTGCCCATATCTGCATTAATGGACAGCCCCAGAGTAGATAATACTATAATTCATTCCTAATTAGAAATGAATGGATCTATTAGTACTTTTATCTTTTAAGTCCACTCAACACGGACCCAACAAGAGACTTTATTACATTGTATTATGTCAAGAAAACTTTCTAATGTAACAAAAAATAAAGTGATTTTAGAACCATGTTTTATTGTGTAAAAATTGTTGCAAATTATATGCAGACTTGGCATAATCCACACTATAGAAGTCAGATGTCTTTTTAACATAAACTTCATAAATTATATTCAGAAAATTACAGTACATTTATTTATATGGTTCATTTTCTTACGGTTGGAAATTTGTCATCAACATGTTTATATGTTTGTTGTTTCCTCGTCAATTATATGGGTTTGCAGAAGAGAAGTCAAATCGCATATTCTTACACGGAATTAGATTCCCTTATAATCGCTGGAAGATACGAACCATAATGAGAGTAATAGAGAGCGTAGTAGCACCTGATTGTTTGATTAAAGTTGGATTGTTTTAGACAGTTTAATTCCCACTTGCTCCTATTATAACCTTTTATAATCTGTCTTCAATTTACCTCAATCATTTGCTACATCATTTCGCCAACAGCTTGCNTAACTATTTATTAAAATTTATATTAAAACAATGTAAGAAAATTATAATATATTATAATTTTTCTATATTGTTTTATGTTAAATTTTATACACTTATGATCTTGTAATATTGTGTTTTAAGAATAATAAAACATTTGAATTAAATGAAATTAGTGATGAAATATTTTATTTTATATAATATTTATAATAAAGGTTGTGAATAAAATTTATTTTTTCATAAAAGGTTCATATTTATTTTTTGCATATTTTTTACAGTATATGAAAAATTTTATTTTATATAATTGAAATTTAATATGTTATATGAATTATAATGTGATATTTTTTATAATACTTTTTATTAATAATGTGAATTTACTAAAATATTCATCAAGAAATTTATACATTTTGTGTTTAGCTATTATTTTATTGATAATATTTATGCTGTAACTTGTATGCAAAATTTTTTAAATTTGATTTATGTGCTAATCTTAGAGATAATAATAATTATACCTTATTTAGAATTATTTAATTGTTATGCATGAAATAATCTTGTAATAACAAAATGTTTTTCATTTGTATCTAATATTCTCACATAGCATGTTTTAGAAATTCCTTCGACAAATGGCTTAAAATGTTTAAAGTTGAGTGCAGATATAACATATTCAGATTCCAGTTATTCAAGTTCTAAAGAAAATCATGCCATTCACATTTTTAGCCATCAGAAACAACATGCAGAAACAGTTACGAAATATCCAACACCAAAAATTATTGTAGATGAGTCTGAAACTTTAACAAATTCTTGTTCCAATAATATTCAAATGACATTAAATGAAATTGGTAACACAAAATTTGGTTTCCTTGATGATTCTTTAACTATATCAAATCAACATTTAAATGTTAATAATAATGAGAACTTTGCAAAAGCAAATTATAGAAATCGCAGATATTCTTCATGTGATGATTTAAATTCAGTAAGAAAGACTATTGGACGAAGATTTTCAGTTAGTGAAACTTCAAATTTAGAAATAAAAAAGTATTTTGGTTCTACAGTTGCAAGTTCTTCATTCTGTTTTAAACCTGGATCATTTGTTATGGTGCATGGAAAAATATTAACAGTAGAAGAATTAGAAGATATGTTGAAGGTATTCCTATATTTAACATTGTATGTAATGTACAATATAATTAATTTTGATTATCATAATCATTTCCCACTTTTACTAACATTCTTTTCTTATAACTTGATATGAATGAATTGAAAACATGTTTGGAAATAAGTGTGATAAATGGAAAAACATTAACATGAAAATGATAATTTAATTTTTGAGAACTTATTTTTTTGAATAATTTTATAATAAAGAAAAAAGAAGAACCTAAGAAACCAGATGAAAAGAAGCCTTCATTGAAAGATGCTGTTCCTCAAATATCAGTTGAAGAACCAAAGGGTGAAGATAAAAGAAAACCTTCTGTTGTCCCCTTCATTAAGGAACCAACTCCAGAACCAGGAAGGAAAGGCTCTGCTGCATTGGATGTAAGTCCAAGTCCTGCTGGTTCACGCCGACCATCCATCATTATAGCAGATGAGGTAGGTCTCGTATTTTTGTCATAGTCCAAGGAATACGTGCCATAATGTTTTAAAAGTCATTGTTAAAATGCAGGAATATTTCACTGTTGCAATTTTATGCTGTTTTATATTTGTTTGTTTGATAAATTTAATTAGTTTCTGTTGTGTAAACACCTTTATGTTTCATTCATTGTGAATAATTTATGTATTTTAACATTAAATAATTTATTTCCTTTTATGTTTATAAATTTTATTTTAAATTTTTGTAACTTTTCATTTATAGAGTTTTTTTGAATTTTTATTTTGTTATATTTTGCAAAGCAACAGTGATACATTTTTAAGGATATTTTACTGTAATTATAACAAAATATTTTAGTAAAATGAAAGAATATTTAAAATTCATATTTTATTTCTTTATTATTGAAGTGTACATACATTAAAAATAATCTTGTAACATAATTAGCAGTAAAATATCAGATATTATTCCTGTTATTGTGTATCTTTTTATTATGTTAGTTATGTATTTATATATGGTGTTAAAAATTATCTGCATACTTTCTAATTATAATAAAATCATAATTTAACTGAGGTACAATGAGATTTGTATTGGTGTCATTTATTATGCATAAGCATGATTTAGTTTTGGTTACTTATACTAGTTGAATTGAATTAGATGAGAATTCTATAATTTATTAAATTATTACATTTATAAGGCATGCATTTTACATAAATTTTAATAGTAAAATAACAAGTAACTTGCAACTTGTGAATCTTCTTCAAGGATGAGAAATTTAAAAATTTAATTAAACAAAAAATATGAGTAAAACATTCCATTAAATTTTAAGTATATTACCATTTATAATATATTCTTCATTTTTTTCAAATGTAAAATTCTTCAGCTCAAAAAAATAAAGAAAAACAAAAACTATGTTTATATATCATTTCATGATTGATTGTTAATTAATTACAAACTGAAAATTGTATTACTTTGATAAAATCAGAATATGGTGTTTTTTATAATAATGTTCATGAAGAGAGAAAGGGAATACAAAAACCATCCAGTGGACATAATGTTAAAATACTATAATTTTTTATTAATTTTTATTTAAATATCCTTTCATTTAATACTATAAAAAACCAACCTCGAATTAAATATTAATATTTATTTGACTTTTAATTTAACATACTTTTTAATTTAAAAATTACTTATTTTTATAATAAGCATTGAATTAGTAACATAACAAGTTTTTAATTTTATTTAATTAATGGTTTTATTTTAATTATCCATTATGCAGATAATTTTAGCATATAATTAATGATATGAAAATATTCACATCATTATATTGTGTAAATAAATGTCATATTATTTTTGGGCCATGTATTTTTTCAATATATTTTGATGGCCAAAATTTTTTCAAATGACTTTGTATATGTTGTGATTAATATTTAATGTTAAAGTAATGAAGTTTAAAACACATCTGTGTGTTTTAATAAATTTAGTAATTAATTATATTATTTAATATCTTTGAATTGTAACTGAAAATGTTAAATCTAATAGTAGTCTGAACTTAAGACTTTTAACATAATTAATTTCTAATATTCTTTAAAATTTTCATAAGAATTTTTGTGTTTTGTAACTTTATTAATTTATATAAACAAATTATGACACAAAACTAATTATATATAGAATTTCAATAAATTTTTTGAAAAATATATTACAAAAGTAGGAAGGAAGTTTGCAGTTTTTAATTTTAATATATGTATTTTGATTAAATCAGTAGATTTTTTAGTAATCTTGATTATTACATTTATTAAACACTTTAGTATGAAGATAGCTAAGTGGCCCTCAAAGCCTCTCTCAATGAGCTAAAATAGTATCAACAACTATTTTCAATTTTCAAAAATCTATTTTCAGAATACACAACAAAAATAAAATAAAAAGCATCTTTTAAAAAATTTGAGAGAAAAATATAAAAATTTAACTTTATAAAGTAACTTTAAAATTCTATGCAATGAAAAGTTTGATTTCCAATTTTCACAAATTCTGTTAATAAAAGTCATGGATGTTATGGAGCTATACTAATACAATATTTTTTACTCAAAATATTTACTTTTAAAAAACGTTAAATTTATTGTTAATATTTTTATTTTATTTTTTTTTCATAACAATGAGCACAATTTATATATTTTTTTTACCATTTAAATTGGATGTTATCTCTTCCTTTTAGGGATAACCTATGTTTTTACCATTCTTTTTTTCATTTCCTTCTGATATATGTATTCTGTTATTATTGTATTGTTTGTATTGGTGTTTTCAATTTTTATTTCTTATAAGCTTCTTAAATATTTTTTACATCATATACTTTTTCTTGACACTGGTGACATTCTTTCCAGTGTTGTTTTAATATATTGAGCACAATCATTGAAATCTTAAAGTAACATTTTAAAAATAACACATATATTTTGGGAAAATTTAATCATTATTTTTATCATCTTAAGATATACTGAAAAACATTGATCTGAGAACATCATCATATATATGGATCAATATATGGATATTTAGCATATCCAAACTTTTAGATAAATTTTTCTACTTTGGAATAATTGAATGTTGAAACAATACTGAAATCAAATATTCTGAATACTAGAAGACATAACTTTTTAAACCTATACAAATTCAGTTTTATAAATATAGTCATTTATTATTATTATTTTTTAATGCATTTATTATTATTCTACATGCATTTCATGTTGTAAATAAATAAATTTAATTTTTATCACATTTGTTTGAGTAATTTGAATTATATTGTAACTTAAAAATTAATGGATTGAATAGTATATGCAAAATTTTAAAATTATTTTGTTCTTTTAATTTATATAATTGAAAAAAATTACTTGAACTGGGATTACACTAACTTTAATGTTCATTTCTAAAATTGATTAGTCAGTGATAGTATTAAAAAAGCAATATAGTTGATTATTTTATGTGCAGGTTAAATTTGATTTTATGATGAACTATAGAAACCGAATTAGAATATAATTGTTATTACCAATAAATCAGATTTTTTATTAATGATCATTCTCTTTATATAAATGTTAGAATAAATGAAAAGACTGAAAATACAGAAACAATCTTTAATTATGTGATTAAAGCCTTTCATTGTGAACAGTTATAGGTTAATAGATTTATACACTTGTTAAAGAATGAAATAATTATAGATTTATAATATGAATTTGCACTTTAAAACAATATATATAATATTTAGCTTTTTTCAAAACAAATAAATTTATTAGCTTTATTGAATGTGTTGAAATTCTATTGTATCATTGTTTGTTTTTCAAATTAATGAAAAATATTAAATGTAAATATTCTAATCTGAAATTAAAAATTATACTAAATAGTTAACTAATTGTTAATATATTAACATTGTGTTTTTGTATGTTTGTAGTAATAATTTTGTTAATTTTTGTTTAAAAATAAATTAATTGTATTATTGTATATTAACATATATTGTGTATACTGTATATTTAATAGTGGATATTAATTTATTTTATTTTTTATATTTTTAAAAATTATTTTTTACAATGTTGCTAATATGATTAAGTTTAATTAAAAAGTTTAAAAAAAGATGATAAATGAATATTTGTGTTTTTTAACGTTGTAATTACATATTATTTTATCATTTATTTTTACATTTAATGTATTAGGTACATTTATGATTGTTTTGTATCAGAATTTTTGACATGTTTATATAATTTATAATAATATAACAAATAATAATAATAAATATAGTAACTCTGCTTATAACTAAAATATGCTTCAAACTATATAAAATTCAAGCAATGAATTGCAATAAATTAAAGTTTCCAGTTTCTACATGTAAAAATGTTTTTAAATGTCTTGCAGATTAATTTAAATTTCCAAGACCTTCAATGGTATTTAAAAGTATTTACTTCAACCTATATATATTTGCAGTGTGTAGCGTCTGTGTAATCCAAAACGAGTTGGTAGATGAACGGACAGCAATTGGTTAGAAAACGTACTTTTTATTTAAAAAATTCCTTATTCATATGCATTTCGGGTTGGCTTAAATGCCCAACCCCTCTTCAGTGCTGTTAAGGTTACACAAAAAAATTTAATTTAAGGTTAGTTTTACGGTATTGGTTAGTAGGAACATAACTAAAAACGCGAGGTGATGATAACATAAAATTGCTTACTTGACATATAATGGTACAGCATAGATGTATTTTACAAAAATTTTTTGATTACATAGTAGTATGGCATAGCCTATGATATGAAAAAAGTGGCATAAGGGGGAGGCTGTTTAACATATCATTTTTATGACGAACTGTTTAACATAGAATATTAATTTAAAAAATAATAATGCACACTTACATTTTAGTTAGAATGTATTATTTCCGAATACAAAAAGGAACATAGTACAAAACATTTTTAACAACTGGTCTTATCCGTTGTTCGCTTAGTAACAGAATACCGACAAGTAATGTTATATAAACAGTTACCCACATTCCGTACACGGGGGTTGTGATTTAAACAATCTTTAACGCGTGGAGGCGTTCTCTATGAGTTTGTACCATTGGGGGTCTATGGACATGCCTTCTGAAACATTAATTAAGTTTTCTTTAGGGTGTTTTTTGATTTCTATGTGTTCTTTAAATTTTCTTTTATATGTGTCTTTTTCTACATGTAACACTTTTGTATTGTTTTTATTAATTTGGCAATTATAGTCTATTGTGTGGTAGTACCAGGGGGAAGTGTTATGTTTTAGGCGGATGGCTGCCATATGTTCTTTAATTCTGGTTTCTAGTGACCGGCCTGTTTCACCAATATAAGTTTTTGGATTTTGACAGTTGCATTCAAGTTTGTAAACAGTTCCTATAGTTTTAAGGGCGTTTAGTTTGTTGTTATGTTGTTTATTAATGTCATAATGGATACTATGAGATATTTTGTTGGTCAAAGATGGAGCCAAACTGATATTGTCTTTTTTTAATGACTTATTACAGCCTTCAAAAATGTTTTTTATATATGGGAAGGTTTTGTATTTTTTGTCGGATTTATATTTTGTGTTAAATCTATTTTCCCAGTATTGCTTTTGCCATGTGTTTAATTTCGATTTAGGATAGTCGTTAAGTAAAAATTTAGTTTCAAGCTCTTTTATTTTTATTTTTTGCCATTTGTTATCAGATATTCTGGTATATATGTTTTTTAACTCCATGGTATAAATATTCCTTTTTATATATTCTGGGACATGTGAGTAGTAGTTGATAGTTTTATTAACGTTACATGGTTTTTTGTATGTGATGAAAGAGAAATTATTAAGTGTATTCATGATTGTTATGTCGAGGAAATTAATTTTTTTATTGTTTTCTATTTCAATATCGAATTGAATATTTTCGTTAAATTTGTTAGCAGTGTTCAGAATAGTATTATCGTTTGTTATTCTATTATTGTATATTATTAAGTAGTCGTCTGCGTATCTCATTACAAGTTTTATGCCTGGGATATTATTTATTTTTTCATCTATGTTTATCATAGCTAATTCGGCTAATTTGGGTCCCATCTTTGATCCCATACTGATGCCATCTACCTGTCTATAGAAGTTAGTATTGGCTTGAAAATAGTTTCTGGTGTATGCGAAGTGTATTAGATTAATTAAAGTTTTATCTACATTTAACATGGTTAGGCTTTCCTCTATTAATTTCCATTTTATATTTGGGTACATATTTTTGACATCTAGGCTGATTAGTGTGTCAGTGTTACTTTTCTGTATTTTCAGTAACCTATTTATAACATCATCCGCGTTTTTTACGGTGTATTTAGACAGATCGATGCTTGTTAATTGTTGCTTGATATATTGTTCTAAGTTGTAAAGTATGGAAAATTTGAAGTCTACTAAAGGTCTGAATTTTTCTTCATTTTTGTGGGTTTTTAATCTTATGTTTAGTTTGGGTGTTCTGTTGTTTTTGAAATTAAGGATATAATTTTTATTGTTTTCACTTAAATTATTATTTGCGTATATGTTTTTGACCAAATTAATTAGTTCCTTTTTAATATCTTCATATGGGTTATTGTTTAATTTAATATAATTTATGTTATTAATCTGCTCTATAGTCTTCTGTTGTAAATTATTATTGTCAATGATTATCAGTTGGTCAGTTTTGTCTGCTTTAATTATTGAGAGATTATTCGTTTTAAGGAAATTTATTGTATTTATTTATTGATTTATCTGTTTTTCATCCATGAAGTGAATTCATACATTTGCAAGGAACACTCAGTCAGAGGAAAGATTGTTATCACTGGTGTTATTTTCAATAGAAAAAGAGCTTTTAAATACTTTGATGGAATCAACGATTAGCAATTTTTATGATAAAGTAAGTAATGACTATGCGAAAAAAATTGCTGAATAGAGTCAGTTTATAATCAATAATAAAAACAAGTTCTTATATTTTTGTTTCATGTCAATGTATCTATTTTAGAATCAAAATAAATAAACTGTTTATTTTTGTCATTTCCAGTATTTGTTTGAAATTTTTATGTAAACAGCTTCCCTATCATCAAAACTTTAAAATTCGAACACAGTACATTTGCATAAATGAATAGGCTTTTCAAACATTTTCAAAACGTTCGAAAAGCCTATTCATTTATGCAAATGTACTGTGTTCGATTTTTAAAGTTTTTTCTTGATAAAGGTCTTTTAACATGGCCAAAAACATTAGGAAGTTAATAAATTTGGCTGCATGTTTACAAGGTGTTAGAGTAAGTTTTGTTTATTGAGTAATATGCAGTCTCAGATGAATTGCTTCCCTTATATATAGATCTTAACCTTTTACAACAAAATTTGATTGATTAAATATAGTTAACTAAAATAAACTAAATGTTAAGAATAAGGTAGATAAGATAACAATGCCTTATATAGTAGATTAACTTAATTCATTTTCTATTCACATTACAATATTACTAAATGATTACTTATGTTTTAGTCTTTAATCTTAATAATTTCTGTTTAATTTTTTAAGTTATAATAGTAAATATAAATGCTTTTAAATATATTTTGTTTAAAGAAAATAAAATAAAAGTTAGATCATTAATTACCTATATCAATTTATTGAAACACAAAATAAAACATTTGATTGATATATGATAATTTGTATATTTAATTAGTAATCACTTATTGAGCAAAGTAAAACTTGTAGAAAATTATTAATTTTTTTAAGTAGAGTTAATTATTAATTAAATATCAATTGATATTTATTATGTAATTTGTCATCTTTTTAAAACTGATAATCTTTTATGTTAATAGTATTGATTTTATTTATGTTCATATAGTTAAATTAATATCCACTTTAAATTGGTAATATGTTATATGTTACACAACATAAAATATGTGTTATGTGCATGCTTGTTGTTTGTAATGATATGGCACGTAATGTAATTGAAGACATCTGAAGAATGGTAATGTATAAAAATATTTTTCTTTTTATAAATGTAAGGAATTGTTATAAAAGTATAAGATGATGTAGGCTATTACTTAGATATAAAGTTATAAATAAGTTATATTTATTATGATGTATTTAAAAATGTTATTTAAACTTATTATTACAAATCTTCATTTATAATTTAATTTTATATAGCATTAAGAATAAAATAAAATTTATCATTTTATTTGTAAAGTTATAAATATATTTAACACATATAAACTTTAAATACTGAATATAAATTTTAAAATGTGTATTTATTTGTCATCATTATTTTGTATGTACTGTAAATAGTTAAATTCATCTTTGATGAAAGCTTAAAATGATGTTATAAAATATATACTTAATTTAATAAATAATATCAGATATTTGAATACTATTAAAAATAATTTTAAATTTTACAGTCAAAATTAATTATAATTCACAAATATATCAACTAAGTTTAAACTTATCTGAAAAGTATTTTTCTATAATTAATTTTAATAAAAAGATTTAATTCCAAAATGTTTGAAATTGTAATTTATAATGTAATGATATATTCTTTATTATATATTAGATTGGTTATTTCCTACATTTAATTAAATTAGAGTTTATTATATTGTATTATATGTGTAGAATATATCAAAATCATGGAATGATTACATTTTTATATCTGAGTGTATCAAAATTATACATAATTTTTATAAATTTTGAAAATAGATTTTATTTGTATGATTGTGAGTGCCTTTTTTAAAAATTGAACACATGGTTTTTCTCTACTATCTTTCTAACTTTACTTCATTCTTTAAAATTTAGAAATTTTAATAAAACTATAATTATTTAAAGATATCTTTAAAATTTGAAAATATAAAAAAATCATATAAATAAATTAATAGATAAAAACTAATAAAGAACTTTTAAATTTTATTTAAAAAAAATTAAAGTAATAAGTTTATTTTTCAAAAATAACTTTTATATGTTTGGGAAAATATATTTTAGATATTCCTAATAAAGATTCTATTTTATTTAAAATATTTATATACTAGATAAATATATTTTCATAATAATAATAGTTATTGCCATTATTGTTATTAGAAAGGAATTGCAGTTGATGAAACAGGAGCAACAAAGAAATTAAGACCAGGTGAAGTTCTTGAAGTTAAACAAAAAAGACGGCCAAGTATTGACGTGCGTAGAGCGAGGTAAAATGTTATGTATTTATTTTCTATGCTAAAACAATTGGTTTTGAATTTTATAAATTTTATACTATATGAACCAGTTTAATATAAAATTTTAAAAAGATAATCAATTAAATAAAAGTATTTCAAGTCTTTTGCTTCAATGCTGTATTTTCACTATATCTTTTTACTTTGATTAATTCTATGCCAGTTTTCTTTCCATTCAGACATAGATACCATATTCCCAATTACTTTTTTTCTCAATGATTTTTATTAGCATTTAGTCTATGTTCATTCATTCAAGATGACCGAGTTATTGCCACTTTTTTGTTTTTATACTTCAGACAATGGTTGAATGATGTGAATTTTGGCTTTTGTCCAATGAATCCAGTCAGTATTGTTTGCTTTTCTAAGATCTTCACTCATCTATTGTATTTGTTTTCAAATATTTGCAAAAGTTTTTTGTGTTTTTTTTAATACTCCAAATATCTATATCACAGTGAAGACTATTTGATTTTTCTGTAAATGTAAAATTTGATTGACTTTGTGAAAGTTTGAATCAGAATAACTTTTATAGTGAGTAATAAATGTTATTTATTCTTTACTAGCTTACTCGTCGCGCATTGCTGCGATCTCAGAAGAAAGGAAATTCAATCAAACTCGTTATGATAAAATTAAATTCACATTTTATCATTTTCATTGAAACTTATTATTATTATTCATTTTCATCGGGAAAACGTTTCAAAGTGTTTCAATTTTATTTATTTATTGGAGTGCTTTGTGGATACACGATATTTTTTGTTTTTCCGTCTGGTGCATACACGAATAAATCAAAAGATTTTTCAACGTGTGAGTTGGCTACATACAGTTGTCCAAGCGAGAAGCACGGATTCTTTAAATTTAGCCCACATACTCGCAGAGATTGTTAGAAGTGCGATATTCCCCATTTTTATATAGTTTTTTTTAATCCTTCATAATTTTGATTATTTAATTGCTCCTTCCTCTCTTCCTTGGCGTGTTGTGAAATTTCTCATAGTTGGATAATAAACCGTTTTATTGTAATTTGTCTTTTTAAATTATTTTGAGTTGATATTAAAATTTGGAAAAGGGGGATCCCTAGATCGGTAAAATAGGCGAATTTCCTTCTACAACTTCGGTTGTTGTTCATGATACAGTTAAGGCTTTAACAAAGTTCGAGCGATTACGTAATTAGCAAAACAAAAGTTGAAATAAAGTGATTAAACAAAAATTATTACAAATATCGTAAATAATAAATGCATATATAGAGATATTTTTTGGAGGGGGAAATGGTCTTCACAATTTGAAATTGATCGAACACACTGTGCTCGAATGCTCGTGTAAACGCGCGCCATCTATCGTAGGGTAAATGCCAGAAACCTTCGTGGGAGTGTATTAAAAAACTTCCCAAAGCTTCATGGCAATCGTACTACACCACAAACCTTCACGGGAGTATATTAAACAACTTCTCAAAGTTTCACGGCAATCGGATAAACGGTGTGGTTATGTATGAAGGACACACACACACACACACACACACACACACATTCATTTTTATATATGTAGATTACATTCTGACTTGGATTTTTTGCTTAAGGAGGTTTTTGTCTGTTATCAACATTACAGGATATTTGAACATTGTTTTTAAAATGCACTGATTGAACTAATACCATTATTTACATGTTTTCTATGTGATCTATTGTAGTCATATAGTATTATTTCAATTGTTTTATCATATACAAATTTTACCAATGCAATTGTATTCTTATCTATTATAATAATATTGGTATATTCTTTTATTTTTTTTTTAATTTTTGAAATTTTTCCATTTTCTATGTAAAATACTAATTATTTGCCATTTTAATAAAAGTTATGTTATTTAAGAATGGTATATTAAAATAATTTAAAAGCTAAAGTAATTTTGAAAGTTTTTTGAGTATTCTAATATAAATCCATAAATTTATAATTTATAATAAATTACAGGAGCTTCCCTTCTTATGAACATTCAACTTAGGAACTTTCAAACTTATGAACAATTTGACCATATGTCTAAAATTTAAGTTTCATGCAGATTCAGAATTTCTCTTGCCAGTTGTGGGGGTTGAGTTGAAGTCAGTTTTTAGCCAGTAATAGATAATCATTTTTAATAAGTAATTAATGTGGATTTATTTCTATTGCATATCATCATTTTTTGTTTTTACATGAATTCTGACATTCCATCGCTGCTTGTGAGGTGGCATCAAAGTTGGTAATGTTGGAGTAATGGTATTTTTTGCTATTGTTTGCAAATTTTTTAAACTTTTATGATCACTGCTTCAAAAATGCATCCAAAACATAATAGTAAATATAGCAATGGAAATAAATGCAAGAAATGTGGCTCTATTACCGTGGAAATTAAACTTTACATTATAAAACTAAATGCATTAGGTGAAAAAACTGTATTTGAAATACCCACTACTAAGCAGTAGTGAGCAGGTAAATGAGCATAATGTACATTAAAGGATCAAACACTAAAATATGTGGTTATTCTGTGTACAAATGTACTATCTAGATTAGTTTTTGACTTATGAACATTTTACCTTATGACAAAACCTTGGAACAAAACCTGTTCATAAGTGGGGGAGTATTACAAAATATAAACCGTTTCATAAATTATGTTCTTATGTTGTTGTAATATCTTTATTTTTGTGTAATTGTTCATTAATAATAATTATGCTATAACAAAAGAAAGTTGTATCAAGTCATTATCATTCTTCATCAATTGTTTTAAACACATTCCTTTTATCTATTTACTGAATTGCAATTACAGTAGAGTCCTAGAAACTCATCTCTCAATAACTCAACATTCTCTAAAATTTGTCATATTGTTAAAAAAATATATATGTATACATGTAATCTAATTTTTATTTCTGTAACTTAACACTTGGATCAAATAAGTTACCATTCTTCACTTGTAAAACTTGATGATAGCATCAATTTCATGTGTTAACAAAGAATATAACCCTTTTTCCAAGGTGCAAAATGCCATAACACAAATATCACTAATTCAAAAGTATCCACTGAATAGCTAATATTTTTTTTTTTTAATTAAAATTTAACTACAAATAAAAGTAACTATTGTATGTATTTAATATGTGTATGAATTTGTACATATAATTTCAATTACTTTCTTATACATATAATACCTTTATGAAAATTCTACTATTTAGATTAGCATCATTCATCATTATGCTATTATGGCCGTACGCCTTATTTTGTATATTTTATTCTTAGCCTGGGTCAGGTCGCAAAGGTCAACAACCTATTGGGGTCGCTGCGGGTCACCTTGACCCTCATTTTAGATATCAAATTACATTTTAACTATCTAACCTTTTGCACTTTTTTCTTTTAAATATTATTTCTCGTTCTGTTTCATAATTTAATAAACATATTTGTTTACTTTCTAATGCATAGTTAATTATTTATTAACATTTAAGTATTTAAAGGTTAAAAGTTTATAACCCTTTAAATACTTAAAAATTTCTAAAAAATTTAACTATTTAAAAAATTTAAAACAATTAATAATGATTATATCATTATTTTTATTATATAATAGGTATGTCACTTCACGATTTTAAAATAAATTATATTTACATTAAATAAACATGTCAAATTACAACATTATTTAATTGACCGTTACTACTATATTAAGAACCTTAGGGCACACGTTAAGCGCATCGTTCGGTGTTGTCAGATTTGTCAAAAGCATAACCTCCATCATGTCCGTGCTCCATTCCAGGAGACGGAGGTGGCCGAGTTTCCCTTCCAGAAAATCGCCGTTGACATTATAGGCCCTCTCCAAATATCTCCGGAAGGAAACCGTTACATTTTTAAAATGATTGACATCTACACCTGTTTTGCCGAAGCAGTCCCTATTAAAGATCAATCAGCTCAAGTTGTAGCTGATGCTATATTTAATGATATAGTATGTAGATATGGTTGTCCTGATATGGTCATTTCCGACCGGGGTAGTAATTTTACATCTAAATTATTTCAAGACGTTTGCAGTGGTCTACAAATAAAGCATAACATCACGACTGCATATCGCCCATGTTCTAATTCCATCTGTGAGCGTTTTAATAAAACACTCTGTGGTACTATAGCCTGCATATCAGAGGGCAATAATAGGAATTGGGACTCTTTTATATCACCAGCACTATTTGTGTACAACAACACTACATGCCATGCATCAACTAATGAATTCCCAGCCTTTTTATTATATGGCTTCGACCCCCGTTTCTCTATTGTGTTCCCAGCGGAACAGCAGAATATCAACCTGGAAAAGCCCCACGGAATGGAATTGAGAGATAGATTAAGCACTGTACGGGAAGCTGCTTACGAACTGGGGAGGCAACAGAATTTTAATAATCGAAAACGTATCAACCGAAACAGGGAAATGAACAATTGGAGGGAGGGGCAACAAGTATGGTTACTTTGTAAAGGTAAAAATAAGAACTCTGGGAAGTTCTCGGCGAAGTATCTAGGACCCTATCAGGTTACATGTAAACTAGGCCCCGTCATTGTAGAAATTGGTGATAACCGTAAGAATAACAAGTTTATTGTACATGTAGATCGATTAAAACAATGTTATTTTTCGATGTATAAAGACGCGAAAAAAAGAAAGTGTAACAGACACCTCATGAAACCAGAAGAAGAGGAACCGATTAATGATTCGAACGATGAAGATATTTGTGAATATATCAGGCATTGGACTCGTGAAACAAATCACCCTTCATATGAGCCCCAGGATCAACAGAACAAACTTGAAAGACTCGAGAGGAGCTAGAAGCATATCTAGATATAAGAATATTCGAGATCTTATTTTGAGAGTCCGATAGGATTAGCCCATCAACTATTTCTCCAAGATTTGATATTTCCGATATCACCACCATCAATCCAAGATCGTTGACACTTTCAGTATCCATTCTTTTCTATCAAATATCCAGCTATCCTATTGCCTATCTTTTCTTCCTCCCTTTTAGTATAAGTAGCTTTAAGTATTTAGTTATAGTTCCTTTTTTTTTGTACCGCGGTGAATAATTTTGTCGTGAGATTTTAATTAACTGCCGAAATTGTCTATAAAAGACCAAATGAGGAGTGTCGGAATATAAAAGAATCCTGAAAAAAAAGAAAAGAAAATAAACACGGGTGAAGGAAAACATCTATTTGTATTGTTTGCTTATCCTCTAGTTGGAAATACACTCACCACGTGCGTATCTTACACTATAAAATATAAAAATAAAATTATTTTGGTAATTTGTCACCTTCTCAGTCCATAGTAAGTTGGGTTTGTGGAACTCTACTATATTCAAAAGATTTTTTCAGCATTTATGTTCCAGTTTACAAAAAAAATATTCTGAATTGTATTCATTAGACTTAGTTACATTGAAATATCTTGCCCATTTCTGATTGCAAGCTAAAGTATTAAATTAAGAATAATCAGCATTTGTTTGACTAATAAATTGTTTGTGATTACAAAACTTATTAATACATTTTATAGCTTTAGACAGAATTAGATAACCTAATAAATATGGTATAACAATTTGCAGGGCTTATCACACCAAGGCCGACTGAAAGAAGGACCAGAACTTTTATAAAAAAAAGGGTTGGTCTTTAATAATCACATTTCAAATTTAGGTAAGTATGCATTTCGGGTACAAGGACCCCTCATCAGCTTACAAACACATGGTAACAATGTAACAAATACAACACCAATAACCAGCCAATACAATGGGATAACCAACACATGCAGTGAACTGCATTTACAATTTCTCAATGTAACCCATACACTAAAAACTAAAATATCAAGTATAAATTAGAATACAATGACAATGTGGTACAATTATCCTAGAACAGGGGTCGGCAGTTTGTCAAGTGAGAAGAGCCAAATTGTCATGAAAACAGAATAACAAAAGTACCAGAGAGCCGCATATTAATTTAAATGTGCGAAATACGACACACGACAGAGGCGCCTCTGGTGGCCATTTTTGGCATAACGTTACACGGATGGACGGACACGCGTTCAATGAGTTATATATATAGATATGCTTCAAATGATACCACTCTTATGCAACTCATATTGATCAACGCAAGTGTGGTCATGTGCGGACGGAGAACAAGTCGAAGTTTGTTCGGCGGCTCTATCTCATAAACTCATAAGTTATAAGGCTGCGGTGAAATGAGGTGAGATGAAATTGGAGTTTATGTCCGAAGAGCCGCAAACGTCTATGCAAAGAGCCGCATGCGGCTCGTGAGCCGCTAATTCCGACCCCTGCCCAAGGACATTATTGTTTAAGTGGTTGGAAACAAGTAAAGGGAAAAGGAAAAATGTTACGTTAAATAGACAACCAATAGCTGTTAAGACTGTGTATCTAAAAATAGAATATGTTTTTGGTGTTTTTGAAAAATTAAAAAACGAATTAAAAAGATTAGATATTATTTTAGTACCAAACCACACAAGAACCATAGCAAAATTGTTTAACAGTAAATATGAAATTAATGAACATAATGATTTAGAAAAAGATAATGTAGTTTATTCATTAGATTGCAGTTGTTCACATAAAAAAAGATACATAGGGGAAACTGGAAGAAAATTAAAGAACATATATATGCCATTAAAAATAATTTGATATCATCATCAGTGGCACAACATTGCAACACTGAAGGTTGTGAAATTTTAAAAGATAGCATCAAGTGTATTATGACAGAAAACAATCAACTAAAAAGAAGACTACAGGAACACCTAGAAATTCTGAAAATACAGGAAGACATCAGAATTAATAACAACGTGGGACTGAAGCTACATGAGGGGTGGATTGACATCGTTTTCACTTAACCTTGAAACAGATGCTGAACAGATGTGGGAGTATAGTCACATCACTTTGTGAAAATGCTTTGTGACAGAGCAGTTAACTTCACAAAGTCTTATAGATCAGATGTATTTTGTTTCTGTTAAAATCTGGAGACCAATTGGTTTTAAAAAGAGTAAGTTCATTGTTAGCTTTCTTCCCTCTTTTTGTGTGTTTTAATATACTTAACAATATTTATTATTAATAGTGTAACCGTCTACCAGAATTTGGAAAATGTAGGAGAAACTAAGACATTTACTGGTCCCAGATAATATGTTATACCACATTGTCATTGTATTCTAATTTATACTTGATATTTTAGTTTTTAGTGTATGGGTTACATTGAGAAATTGTAAATGCAGTTCACTGCATATGTTGGTTATCCCGTTGTATTGGCTGGTTATTGGTGTTGTATTTGTTACATTGTTACCATGTGTTTGTAAGCTGATGAGGGGTCCTTGTACCCGAAATGCATACTTACCTAAATTTGAAATGTGATTATTAAAGACCAACCCTTTTTTTATAAAAGTTCTGGTTTTTTTTTCAGTCGGCCTTGGTGTGATAAGCCCTGCAAATTGTTATACCCTATTTATTAGGTTATCTAATTCTGTCTAATTTATAGTCGTGGGCAAAAAGCGTTGTTTATAATTATAACATTTTATAGCATTTATATAAATTGATTTATCTTATAAATACATTATACTTTTTACAATATTACTGTACTTATTATTATCTTTTAAGTTCAGTTACTTAAAACAATCAAATTTATCAAACGTTTGAATCCATTTTCTTAAATATCCATAAGATGATTCATATGACAACGAAACTTCTTCATAAATATGGAGTGGGCTATAATTATCTCCACTATTTTGTTTTAAAGCAATTGTGTTGAAAGCCATACAAATTAAATTACATGATATTACAAAACATATCCCATAGAAGGATTTCAAATATAACACCTTGTGATGTTCTGACTGAAATTGTCCTTCCAGACATGCAACAACAAGATTTGCTCAGTAATAGTCATCCTTCAGTTAAATGAAGCTCCAGCTTATTGTTCCTGAGAGGTTTGTGCAACTCTAAACAATAAATAACTTTTTCACTGGATTGGATAATAATATCCGATGACCTCCCAGATTGCCCAACATTATCCCTTGGATTTCTTTCTTTGGGGTTTTGTAAAAGATTACATTTATGTGATGAAGTTGCTTTTTGGAAAGAGTTGTGGTAACTGTGCATTTAATGATACCAGAAATGTTTTTGAAAGTCTTTGAGGAAACAAAATGCTGTGAGAGCATGTGCATTGACATTACAGACTGCCATATTGAAATAAAATGAAACTCAAAATCCTTCCCTGGAATATGTTTTTTAATCATGTTTATAAATTTCAATATGATTGCTGTAAAATAAAATAAAGAACATAATTAGGACCCAATCTGTATTTTTGCTTCTTTGTCAAATCTTTGTTTTAATTTTTGAAAACATCAGTTTTATTACTTGGAGTGAGATAATTTTAAAAACCTGTAGAAAATTCTTACTGATGGTTTTAGTTGCTTGATTAGAAAGAGAAAGCATTGTTGCAATCTTATGATTAAAGATTATACAACATACTAAAATATCAAAAATTTCAGCCCAAATGTGCAAATAAAAAAAGTCATTTCTAGAGTTTTAAAAAATTTAATCTACCAAAACACTGGATAAAAACTTAAAAAAAAGAGGATGTCTTGTCACCTAATCATTGGTGACTTTTTTTTATTAATCTTTTATGTAACTAATGTAAAGGATTTTTTAAAATTAGTTTTAACTTAGTTATTTTACTTTCTTAGTATCATCTTTTATATATGATTTTTAACTTTTAAAAATTTTATAATAATTAAAAACTTAAAACTCAATTATTTTCTAATAGTGTTGGAGAATTACAGGAGTTGGCAGATAAACCATCAACTCCATTAAAGGCTATACCAGAAAATCAAGAAAGTGCTCCACAGATTATTGATTACCAGCAGAATGTTAGTGCCATTGAAGGTAATTTATAATTTTCATAAAAATAAATTATTATATAAATTAAAAAATTTAGATTAAAGATAGGCTTTCATTTTTATTTCATTATTAGTATTTCATTATTATAGAGCAATTTCATTATTTCTTAATGAAATTGCTCTCTTTTAATATATTTTTGAGTTAACATCTAATATAATAATGAATTGTCATGTATTTTAGTTAATTATATTTCAATATTCAATATAAAAGACAATTCAAAAAATTTTTAAGAACATTGGATTTGAAGAGAAGTTTTATTATTGAAATTAGAATTTACAGATAATTTTTATATATGTTGGCATGCAAAACTTAAGCAACAATGTAATTTTTAAGCAGACAGCTATGAAATTGTAGAAAAGGGCTTAGTAGTTAGTTATTATCAAACAAATGCAATCAGTACAATGAACACCCATTTCAGTTGAAATGTGATTCATATGCAAGAACAGCACGCACAGTACAAGACTACAATAAAAAGAAGGCTTTGATTACATACTGTATGTGTTCTATTCATTTTTGCACTAGTATGCTTTCTTCATCCTTTANTCATTTGTAAAGAAATTTTAAATATTTAACACTAAATAAGTAAAACTTTTAGTTATAAATTTCAAATTTGATTTTTAAATTAGTTTGAAGATTATTAAGTAGCAAATTATAATAATATTTCTTGGATAACAGATAATTTTCAGTTAATGAAAAGAAATTTGTCACCAATAATGAAGTTCAATTTGTAGCAATGCTATTGTTTAAAAGTTTAGAATTTTAGATCTAAAGTATCTTAATAAAGTCAACAGAATTTAGTTAAAAAATAAAATATTGATAAGTTGAGGTTATTGAATAAAATTTATTTGAAGAGACATTTAGGTTAGAGTTTGATTCATTCTCAGCTTGTTAACATTTAATAAAACTCAACATTTATAATAATTTCTAAACAAATCAAATTTAAATTGGAAATTTCAATCTATTAAACAATATTTTTTATATACCCCAAAAATTTTGAAAATCAGCTATACTAATATTATAAAGAGGTAATGTTTGTAAGTAAGTTTGGATGTAGCAGGTAATCTCCGAAACTACTCATCCGATTTCAAAAATTCTTTCACCAATATTTAGAATGGAACTTCAAGGTGGACATAGGCTGTATATTATTCCGTTAAACATTCATATAAATTAAAAGATATAATCTAGGTTAAGTCTTTTATGTCCAATAGATGGCGCTATGAGTACGACACCCTAAGTTTGCTTTTCTGTGAGGCATTATGCTTTTTTGTGAAAATGAACTAAAGCAGACCATCATCTATCTATCTATATAAATAAAAATGTAATGTTTGTTTGTTTCTACCGATTCCTTTGAAATTTTGACACAACGCTGCATTCGAATACACACGTGTTTTTATATAATATACATGTCGTAATTTCCCCCACTGGGGGAGATGAACAGGATTAAGGCTTACCGTAAAGAACTCTGCTTCTATTTATACTATTTTAGATGCGGTTTTTTGCGTTTTTGATTGTGTTTTAATAGGGTACATCAAGAGAATGTACACTAAGAAGGGATTTTCAAAAAATTTCCCCCCACGGGGGAAGTGTTATACATTTATAATAAATACATTTTGAGCCACAACAACGCGTAGCTGGGTCTGCTAGTATATAATAAATAAGAAAACCTTTAAAATAAAACTTTTCCAACAGATATAAAAACAATAATAAACTAAATAAAATATCAAATATATTTTGTATAGTTTTGAAATAGCATTTGTTCCCAGTAAATGCAAAAACCTATGAATTCACTAAAAATTCCTCATCCATATAGTGCTAAGTTTATAAACATCACATTCATTGATAACAGAGCAATAATCAATATGCATGATACATATGAGCTTAGCAATTCATGAATGTGACTTTTAATATAAACATAATTTGTCTTTGTATCTTGATTTCAAAATTTAACAAATATTTATATATANAGGTTGATTCTTTTATTCCAGAAATTCAAAATTAAAAAATTAATTTATTATAATTATTAAAATTAACACGAGATAGTGGCATAATCACCTACCACTAGACAAATTAATTAGTTTCTAATCATTAAATTAGTGATATAATAGCCCAATAATTTGGCATATTGTTTGGTTTAAATTTCTAATTTACCATTCACAAACAAATATGAGATGGCAATGGACCACTCAATTAAATTTTGAGGAAAATGGGACCAAATATTTAAACATGGCATGCTCAAAAACCTCTAAAAACATATTTTTTGCTCACTAATAACTTTGTATTAAGTAATTTTCCTATAACACCAAAACCAGTCCAATATATTTACTTAAAACAAGTGTTTTTTGTCTGTTTTGAATAGACATCATTAAGTTACATAAGTCTAATGTAGAACCAAAAAATATTTTGAACTGAAGAATGATGTTCAAATTGAATTTTTGAAATCTGTTCATATCTCAGTACTACCAGTTCTGATATAGTAATTGTAGCACTTAATTTTACAGCTTGATCCTATAAAAGATGATCTTATAAAAGAATGAAAATGTTACTGAATTAAAATTTAATTTGGTTCCCAGAATTCATCATTTTTTCTCATCTTTTTGAATATAATACTAAGTTCAAGTATTATTTTTGTTAATTTATTTTGGCTACTTTCTTACAATAATATATTTATACTGTGACTGAGTAGACAACCTTTTAATTAGAGTTTGATATATATTATTTTACTTTTTACGAAGTAACAATACAATATATTACTTAAGATATCTTATTGAAAATATTTAACAAATTTCATTATTTTATCACAACTATAATAAAACTTTCAAATAAAATTAACTAATTCAGAGTAATTGTTTTTTGTATAAATCAATGTTTTTGTAAAGCTTAAGTCTTTGATACTTTCAATAGATATTTTATTAAAGAATTTAAATTAGTATATTTCAAAGTATTATCTTTATAAAAATGAAGAAAGCATTTTTTCTTCCATAAACTATTAAATATAAATTATTTATTGCTGGTTTTTAAATGTTTTGAATATTACATAGTCTATAGATGTAATGATTAAATATAATTGTGCATGATTGTTATTACTAATGATATTGCTTCAGTGTTATTATTGTGTATAATTAATGTTAAATGTCTTGTAACATTTGTTTCCTAGGTATATTCAAAGTAGAATATTTTATGTTTGTGAATGAATATTATTCATACTGTGTTTGTAGAATGAAGAACGCCGCAGTTCCCGTGACAGTCGGAGACTGTCATTGGCTGAAATAATTCCTGACTGGCCAACACTGCAGAAAGTGACCAGGGAAAATGAGGTTGGAGGATATGGAAAGATTGCAATCTTCTTATCCTCATTACTTTCCTGTTCTCTTTCCTTGTTCTATTATTTTTCTGGTTTCTTTCACAAATTCTGCTGCTTTAATTAGCATTAATGCAATTTCTACTTCATGTAACTTTTATATTGCTTTGACTATTGCTTTGATTTTAAATATGATATTTTGCATATAAAAGTAAACATATAAATATTGGATGCAGTCAACTCTTGATAGAATGTCGGTAATTATTTAAATAAAAAAAATATGATTTTTTTCAGCTAATGCAAAGTAAACATTTGTAAGTATATTGTGAATAAGTAAATAATGATACATAACTAGTGTTGTTATAAAATATAAATATATGAACTTAAGTGTAAGATGATAGAAAGTTCTGTTATGCCTTTTTTCTGATATAATTTTTTGCTTTTTTATTAATTTTTTTCAATAATAGAATATGTTTATTTCTGACAAATAAATGTAATGATATTTATCCTTTAGATCAAAATTTTAAATTAAAGTATAAAAGTTTACCATCAGAAATAATCTCTTATATTTAAAAACCAAGATTAAAAATTTAAATGTAACTAATATAATGTAACTAAGTTAGATTATTTCAATATCTTCTTATATTTGCATATATTTCATGTTTAATAAATAAACACAAAAATTTACACTTTCTCTCAATTTTCAGCATTCACTGTTTCAAAAAATAAACCTTTTTGGCTACGTTCAGTGGCCTGTGTCAAGTTAAGCAGATTTTATATTGAGACGTTCGATATAGAATCTGCTTAATCTGATTCAGGCCACTGAATGTAGCTGAAAATGTTCATTTTTTAAACAGTGAATGCTGAAAATTGAGAGGAAGGTGTAAATTTTCATGTTTATAAGACAGTTTCAGCTTTAGGATTTAATATTGTTTGATAAATAAAAAAGTTTTTAAAAATTTATAGTTTTGTACTGATATACAAATAAAATTTAATAACAAATTAATTGAAAATGTTGTATGAAGTATTATTATAAGTTTTGTATACTCATGTCAAAATTTAATTTTGTGTTAGAAAATGTTTAAAAAATAATGATAATTTTTTATTATTTAAAAAGATTGAAAAACACTATTTCAATGTTTCAAAGTTCACTATTAAGTTAATACAACTTTTCTCTTAGAAATAAAGTGTAGTTATTCATGAAATAAATACTTATATGAATTGTACAGTACATGAATCAATTAAAGCCATGATGGTGAGATTTACAAATCTCAAAGTTTGATGTGCTTTGACAGGAATTGTTAAGAGGTTACTGTTCATTAATTATTTCTATCTATTTATCTTAAAAAACACAATTTTTATTAGTCCAGGTATAGTTAGCTAGATTGAAGTGATGTTTGGAAATAATCATAATTCTATTATAAATGAAGTATAGTTAGATGAGAAGATACAATGACAGAAAATAATATTGAGCTTATTTAATGATTTTGGATAATTGCATGTTAATGATTTCAGTGAATTCTTAGCTATTTTGTAAATTGATTAGATTCTGCACATATTGTAATATTTAAAAATAATCTGAAAATTCAATATATATGTGATAAGTTTCAAAGTATTTACCAAAGACGGAAATTGATTTGCATTCTACCAGTAGAACCTGAGATGGCCTTTGTAAAGGTTGAAAATG